TTCAGCTCTAAGTGAGAAAAATGAAGCTAACTTTCAAAGGACACAAAATATTGACTGGATGATCTCAGACTAAGATGTCTCTGAAGCTGGCAAGATGGCTTAATGAGCAAAGGTTTGAAACCATGGTATGGAAAGAGACTATTGACTCGCATTAATTATCCTCTGTCCTTCACACGAATGGTGTGTCATGACTGTACACGTGCTGGCATGAGAACACACACACACACACACACACACGTAAAAGATATTATATATACATGACTATGAAAGGCTCAGAATGTAGTTCAGCTGGGATTGCTTGGCTAGCACGCCCAAAGCCTTGAATTTGATTCCTAGCACCACAAAAACTGTGTGGTGTCTCAAACTTGTTTTTTCTTTGTAGACAAGGCTGACATGAAACATGCTCCCAGACAGACCTCAAATTCATGATTACCTTAATTCCTGGGCACTGGTACTATGGTTTGCACCACCAGACGACTGCTGTATTTTGTGATCTGGTTGTTGGCTACATGGCTCTGTCTAGTTTTGAAAACTCATTGTGACTTAGGACACAAAACGTTCGTTTCCAACAAAGGTTAAAAAAATAGAAAAATTAGTTTTAGGGTGGAATTAGATTAGAAAGCAGGGACTGAAGAACACCACAATAATAACACCCTAAAGAAATAACATCTTAAATTAATTTTTAGTATCTAATGCCTGGTAAAATGCTTTGCTTAGTATAACCTAGGAAACTAGGTCAGCACTGATGAGGGTGCCAGAGAAGATTCTTTTGCCTTTTTAGTCAGAATAAATATACTAATAAAGGTTTAAAAAATACAAAGGGCACCAGTTCAGCATTCTGGGCCTGCTTTTGAGTACAAGGTTAAAGTCATTCGTCTCAGAATGTACTCCTGGGGTGTGGGTTAATCACTAATCACATTTTAATGTGTTCCACTTGTTTCATTTCTATGCTAGGGAAAAGTCTATGTATATTTATTTTCAAATTCAATTCTCTTTTACCTATGGCAAAACACTCTTTACCTTTCTGCATCTAAGAACACAGTAATTTTCATTTAAACTAGGAATAAAATTGCCTATGTGTTTTAGGTCCTAAAAAGCAGGCTTTATTTTGACAGGGCATCCGTTCCATAATTCATACTTCACAGCATTGCATAATTCAAACTCATTGTTTAACAGTCCCGATACTTTAACAGCATCCTCTTGGCTATATTTCATCCCATAGCAAGCACGCTTTCTAGCTCTCCCCACACCATTTTGCTCAGGGAAGAAGATGTCTCAAAGGTTTTTCTTCAGATTACAAACTACCAAGAAAGGAGGAAGCTTCAAGATCTGTGAACACAGAGACCACAATATTGCATGTCCAAAGGTCCTTAGGGAGCCAGGGGAGGACCTAGGCATCAGACTTATGATAGAAAAATAATGGGCTCACTCTCTGTCTATGTCTCTGGCAGGGGGGAGTGAGTGTGTGATGGTGCAGGTATAAGTAGGTGTGTGTTGGTGGGGGGTGGCATGGATGTGGATGAAGATGTGTGTACAGGTGCCTGAAAATGCCAGAAAAAGGGTGTAGGGTCCCCTGGAGCTGGAGTTACAGGCGGATGAGTTGCCCAACATGAGTATGGGTGCTGGGAACTGAACTCTGGTCCTCTGCAAGAATGCTCTTAGCTGATGAGCTATTTCTCCAGCCCCGCATTGGATGCTTAATTTGAGGAACCTGGGTTCAAATGCTAGCTATATAATACGCTAGCATTGTAAAACCTACCCTTGTCTGTGGGTAAGTTTGCTCATTTTGAACTAAGGAAGTGAGTCATCCCTTCCTCCTGTCCTTGCTAGGAAAGCCAAGTGCTACAGAATGGGAGAACCATCTTGGCACGTGTGTAGGAATCAACCCATGTAGCTGTTACCATAAGAAGCAATGTCTGGTGAGTTCTGCCAGCTTGTCTATGACAGAGAACTAACACGATTTCCTGCTTTGTTCTTCTTTTGGCCACCCATCCAGGCTGTCACCAGGATGAAAATGAGTAACGAGAACCATCTACTAGGATAAAGGCACTGGAAAGACCTCAGTCCATCTAACTCTTGGCTTTTGCCAATGAGGACACTTAAACCCAGAGAAGTTTCCCAGTTTAAACCAAAACTCCAACTGCTAACGAGGGGCAGATATTAGGACTGGGGCCTTACGTTTAGCCAAACTCTGTTCTGTGGAGGCCTGCAACATGGAGCATTAGTCTATCTTCTTGTCTGGCTTGTGCTTGACCCCACCAAAAATCACAAATACCTCACAGTGCCTGTCCTAGGTGTTTGAGGGGGGGAGTGAATCTTGCCTATTTCTAGCCTTTATGGATGGCCTACTCCCTGAAAATTCACTCAGGCTAGCAGGCTGCTGCCGCCTTTGAGACACTTTCCATGGTGTTGCTTGGTAGTTGCCATGACAACAAAAATGTGATGGAAATAGAGTTTTCTAGAGGATTATGCTGGTGAAAGCTCTAAAGCCAGATTACAGTTATGACTTTGAAGCTTGAAGAATATCAGTGGATGGTGCTGGCACATAGTAGGTATGCCATGACACTGTGGCAGGAATAAATGCAGGCCTGTCATAGAGTTGGAAGATGAACCAGCAGAGATCTGAGCCTTGAAAGTGAACGTTTGAGGCCACATGGAACAGCTTCACTTACCCTTTCCTTGAGAAACGATGGCAGTGAATTTTTATAATTAAAGTCATGCTGTGTGGGGAATGACTTCTCATCAGAATTACCAGGAAGGTTTGTCAAACTACTGATTGCTGGGGATCCGTACTCAGGGTTTCCAATTACTGCATACACTACATCACTAACAGCACAGATTTCTCTGTGTATGACACATCGCCAATAGCACACCCTTCTAACAAGGTTCAGATGCTCCAATTGCCAGGGGCAAAGCACTATGCCCCTAGTGATGCTTCTGAAACCCCTAAGTTAAGCAATAAGGTCTTTTCTGCCTGCGAAACAAAGGCAAATCTCCCACAATGCCTGATCCAACCCTGAGCATAACCTCTCTGTATTAATTTGTAATTGTTCCAAGAGGTGTTCAACATCTCTAGCCTTCAGGAAAATGTAAACTAAACTGCCTTGAGATACTGCCCCCAACTCCAGCCAGAATGGCTACCATCCAGACACCTGACAGACGTCGGAGAGGATGTGGAAAAAGAGGAGCCTTGGTTCACTGCTGACCAAAGTGCAGGCTAGCACAGTCAAACAGAACTACCATATGACACAGCTATACAACCATCAGGCACACGCCAAAGGATGCTGCATCCCACCGGAAAGACTCTTGCACATCCGTGTTTATTGGTGCTCTAGTCATGACAGCAAGGAAATGGAACCAGCCTGGATGTCTATTAACTGGTGAAGCATACAGAGAAGGTGTGGATACTGTTCACATGAAGAAACACACACACACACACACACACACACACACACACACACACACACACACAACCCAAAGCCAAGAAATCATGACATTTGCAGGAAAATGAATGGGCCTGGAAAGTATATTAAGCAAAGTGACCCAACTAAGAAATAAAGCAGGTGTTTTTCCTCATACGCAAGCTCTGGCCCACAATGCATATACCTACATATGAGGACATATAAGTGTGTATGTGTGGGGGGTACAGTCTGATTTTCAGAAAGAGAACAAAGAGAGGGAAATACTGGGAAATTAGGAAGGATGGAATGCAGGCAGAAAGACACAGGCCATGAAAAAGGACATAAGGTTGCTTTGTTTGTGAAGTTTCAACTCCATCACAGGTTTTTTTCTCCATTGTGGATTTGCAAATTCAACTTTCTGTGTATTGAAGTAGCAAGTACAATATACGCATTCTGAAAGATCCAGTATGCAATGCTCTCTTGAGGTGGGGTTGTGGAAGTCAGCTTTATTTTAATGTCACTGACCCTTAGCACAACATGAAGTAGCCATGGTCTGTCACTGACATCACATTGACCTACTTAGAGGTGATTTAGAAAAATTATTCTTGGGGAAGGTTTTTTTTTAACTGAACATATTTCCCCATTTGTTTCTATTTAAAACTGTATCTAATCATTCTACCATGGTGTTATCTAATATGGAAACTGTATTACTATACATACATGATTGTTTAATGAAGGATTTGATAATACTTATGCCATTTTTGGAGAAAAGACCCTAGAAAATCTCAGTGCTTTCACATCTTTGGGACCAAGAAAAGTGAACAAGTTGCCTAAAAGATGGGAGAGGGCTGGGCCCTAGGCCTTGGTATCTCCTCTGTCGCCCAGATCATACTTCACATCCTGCCCCACAGGCAGCTCGAGTGAGCTTCCTGCTTGCTTAAAATGAGGCATACTCCCTGACTCTCACTTGTGTGCATCCTCAGACTGGAACTCTTTTTCTTTTTAGCTAGATAAACCGTTGGAATAAGTATACTTCAGAGAGTGATCTAAAATGGTAACCTCAGCAAAGAAATAACATTTCCAAGAGGGCAGGCCCAAGCTCAGCTGTCAACACCCATTTCCTGGGAGTGACTCTCTGTTTCTGCTTTTCAGAATTTTACAGGCACACAGGCTCCTCTTGTCAAATTATTGGTAAACATGAATGAAATAATATTGACAACAGTAGCTATTGCATCAGTGAAGGTTCTCTGCAAGACCACTATGTGCTCCGAACTGCTGAGCTGTCTCTCCAGCCCCCAAGGCCCCTCCAAACACACACATGCACACACATACACACACACACACACACTGACAATTAAGAAATGACACTTCTCAGGAAGCTAAATCTCCCTTCCACTGAGAGACTGGTGTTGGGTCATCCCCTTAGAACAGAGACCTCAAGATGCTGAATTTAAATGCTTATTAATGTCTGCACTTTTACTAGCTTCAGTTCTGTTTAACTTAGCCCCAGGACAGTTTTCCAGCGTTGGAATAGGGTAGTCATGTGGTCCCTCCATGCCAGGTTGCCTGCATGAAGTTCTAACATAAATACCAGGGCCTTCCTGCTGGCAGCTCTTCCTGAGTGCTTGTCAGTAGGGATCCATCTTCACGCCCACTTTCGCTGGCCCCTGTAACTGGGAAGCACTTTCCTGGGCCTGCAGCATCTCAGCTGGGCAAGGCTGGCATGCATCCCCGCCTCCAGCTCTGGGGACCATCCTGGATCCCTCCCTGTGATGTCAGCGGAATCCTGAGCTAGACTGAGGGAAAGGCCCAGGATCTCCACCAGAGGAGTCCAGATGGGGTGGACCCAGGGGTGGCCGCCCGGGGCCGGAGCGCCAACCTCGCGTCCCCGGGCGCCGCCCCCGTGTCCCGCCCGCGCCACGCTCCGCCCCGGTCGCCGCTCGTCCCGCGTGGGAGCCGACCCGGCTCAGCCTGATTTACGGCTCTGCTGAAAACCGCTCGTGCGGCTCCCGCAGCATCAGCACCGGCGGCTGCAGCGGCAGCAACAAGTCGGGTAAGTGGGCTCGGCTGGAGCCGTGCGCCCGCGCCCCCTACCCCACGGACACTCGGGGAGCTGGTCCCGGCCGCGCAGCGTCACGGGAAGTCGGAATGGCTGGCTTCCTCGCAGCCACCTGCACGAACTCGCGTGAGCACGATTCCATGCAATCACCAGCAGGAGATGGGGCTAGAAAAGCAGGGACCCCAGGCAGTTGCTGCCCAGCTTGCCCAGCTCTGCACAGGAAATCGCAGCCCTTTTTGCTAACCTGTGCCCTGGGTTTCCGCAGCACGGGTGGAAGCCCGGTGCTGGGGAGTGCGTGGTTATCCCATCTCTCCCATCCAAACATGCCTCCCTTCCCACTGCAGCTCTGGAATCCTCTCCTCCTATCCCTGCACCCCTTGCCTGCCTCAGGCTCTAGGCTGGGCCAGGGTTTTCATCCTGTTAAACATCCCAGCACAGCATAGGAAGGTTCCCCTTTGCTGGGGGGTCGGGAGACTTTGTAACCTGGAAAATGTGGCTGCCTGGCCAACAGGGCACCATTTCTATCTCAGCATCTAGATGCAGTTTGAGGATGTTATACAGACTCTTCACCCTAAGATGCTATCCAGGCCCCTTTCCTGTGGGACCCAGTGCTCATGACCATTCTTGGAGGAGATGAGTACAGCCCCCTTGGGAAACTGGGTTGTAATAGTCATCTGTTGCTAGGGCAAAGGTGACGAATTTACAAAGAACTTCATGTATGCTGGCTGATGCCCACCTGGTCCCAACACTCTAGAAGTTGTCATGCTAACAGCAGCCTGGTAGGCAGGGCAGATCCACCCAGAACATTCTATTGCTGGTCACGGCCCTGTCTATATCAAGTGATATAGACATTTGGGGTTTCCAAATTTCAGTTGTGTTGGACCATGATTATTCATGTTAACACTTTGATTAATGTTGTCACACCAGTGACTCAAAATAGTAAAGTCAGGGTCAGACAAGATGGCTCAGCAGGTAGAGGCATGTGTCACCAAGCCTGATGACCTGAGTTCAATCTCTAGGACATAACATACATGGTGGAAGAAGAGAACTCATTCACACAAGTTGTCCTCTGACCTACACACACACACACACAGAGAGAGAGAGAGAGAGAGAGAGAGAGAGAGAGAGAGAGAGAGAGAGAGAGAGAATAAGAAATGCTAAATTAAAAAAGAAAACTAAGCAAAACGGGAGATGACATTTTTTCAGCTTGTGTGATTAAACCCACTGAACTTGGCTTGATCCATCTTTCCCAAACTTGAGAAGATTGCCAGGCTTGCTCTGTTAAGACATATTCATGTGGGACACATCTCCATGTAGTGTGCCAAATTGAGGAGGGCAAACCACGTTAGTTCTATTTCTGCACCACTCTCCTCCCTCCCCGGGGCTTATTATTTCACCCCCTTGCTCCGGCTTTTTCATCTGCAGAAGAGTGTTAGCCTCCTTCACTCGGCTAGGTTGGAGCTGGATTAGAAATGTCTTTGCCTCTGCAGGCCCTGATATCTGTAACCCACCTGCAGTGGTAGTACGGCACGAGCAGCAGGCCATACCCAAGAGGGTGGCTGTGGCTGCATTTGGCACAGGGGTTTGGGTTTTAATTTCAACATTAACAAAAAATCAGCTCTAAATACTAAATGCAATAGTTGCGTAAAACCCAAGAAGCCTGAGCTGGTGTAGTCACTATGGAAATTGGCATGGGGATTTCTCAGGAAACTGAAAATAGAAATGTCATATGGACCAGCTCTACCACTCCTGGGCATATCCCCAAGGGACTCTGTATCCTACCGCAGAGACACTTGCTCACCCATATGTGCTGCTGTACCGTTCACGGTAGCTAAGCATGGGAACCAGCGTAGGTGACCATCAACAGAAGAAAGCATGGGTAAAGGAAACATGGTCCGAATACAAAATGGAATTTTATTCAGCTGTTAAGAAATTTAAAAGTATGACATTTGGGGGGAAATGAGTGAGACTGGCCATTGTGTTAAATGAAATAAGCGAGACTCAGAAGATAAGTATTAAGTTTTCTCTCAAACGAGGATCCGTGTGTGTGTGTGTGTGTGTGTGTGTGTGTGTGTGTGTGTGTTTGGGTGGGTGTAGTTCATGAAATAAGGACTAAAGGACATCTCAAGGAAAGAGAAGGGAGGTACACGTGTCTTGAAAGTGGAGGTGGGATATTGGGGCAGGAGGAAAGGGGAGCAGCAATCAACTGGAAGGGCAGCAGGCAGACATCTGTAGGAAGGCACTAAGGGAGAGGACCAGTAAGAACAAAGCAATGATGAAAAAGCCACAACGAAAACAGTTTCTTGCTTGATACTAACAAGCTAGTTAAAAACAAAAAGCCACCGCCTCCCTGGAGAGGGGCAACCATCATTGTCAGTCCGTGTGGTATCAGTAGCTGTTGACAGACTTGTAACCGCGTTGTCTTCTCCCTCTCCTAGGACTTTCAGAGTGATGCAACAGACGACTTTTGAGGAAAGCCGGTACCGTTGGCAGGACTCGCTGGAGAATGTCGCTGTGTGCCTGCCATTCCGCTGCCCAAGGTGTGGAGACCATACCAGATTTAGAAGCTTGTCGTCCTTGAGGGCCCATCTGGAATTCAGTCACAGCTACGAGGAGCGGACCCTCCTGACAAAATGCAGCCTCCTGCCATCTCTGAAAGACGCAGACCTAGTCAGGTCCTCGGAACTCCCGAAGCAGGGAAAACTGCTCCGGGGCCACGCCAAGGTGACCAAGCAGAAGCCCAGCTATGTTAACTTGTACAGCATCTCCCACGGGCACTCCAAGGACCCGAAGCCCTTTGAGGTGGTGGCGGAGAGGCCCGTGTCCTATGTGCAGACCTACACGGCCGTGGACATTCGGGCTGACTCTCTGGAAGCCCCCCGATCGAGCCCTGGACTTCCCACCCCAGACACCAAAGCTGCTTTCGAGGCCCACGTCCGAGAAAAGTTCAATCGCATGGTGGAGGCGGTGGACAGGACCATCGAGAAGAGAATCGATAAACTCACCAAAGAGTTGGCCCAGAAAACCGCGGAACTGTTGGAGGTCCGGGCAGCCTTCGTGCAGCTCAATCACAAGAAGCAGGAGGTTCAGAGGCGAGAACGCGCCCTGAACAGACAGGTGGACGTGGCCGTGGAAATGATCGCGGTGCTGAAACAGCGCCTCACAGAATCCGAGGAGGAGCTCCTGAGGAAAGAAGAGTAAGTGCTGCTGGACCTGGATGCTAACCCCTGCTTGGGGGACCCCCTCTCCCCAAGTTACAAGCAGATGTTCATTGTTGTGCGTCATCTGCACACATTCCGCACTGGTTCACTAGTGCCAGGAAGCAGGAAACTTTGGTGTTATTCACCTTCCTTGGATATGGTGGCTAACCTGGCATCAGTAATCTACTTAATGTCTAACTCCTGGTTACCCTGGAAACTGTTTCATGGATGGGCTTAGACAGAATGATAACACAGCCGGTCCATAAGGCTGCCCACAGTGGGCAAGTGACCACCAGTGTGTGTAGGTTATATAGTCAAGAATATGAGATGAGGTCTCCTTCTAATATAAAATATGTTCCAAGTACAAGTACTTTTGGCTTGTTTTCCCATGATGCTTTTCTCTCTTAAATTATAGTAACTAAAATGTCCAGAAAAAAACTACATACCAAAGAGAGCTTCATTTGCTATCGTTAAATATTTATGTTCCCATTGAAGGGATGCTCAGGTACCGTTTAGTCACATTGGACATTTTAAAAATTATGTAGTTAGGATGATTTTGAATTAGCTATTGTATTAGTTACTTTACACGCTGTTGTGATAAAAATGCCTGGTGAAAGCAATTTAAGGAAGGGAGGGGCTAGTGTGGCTTACAGTCCGAGGGCACAATTCATGACAGTGGAAAGAATCTGAGGCAGCTAGTTACGCTGCGTATAGAGGCAAGAAGCAAGGAGAGGTGACCGCTGATGTTTAGTTTCTTTACTCCTTTTTATTCCGTCCTGGATTCAGCCCATGACATTATGTCACTCGTGGTTGATTAGCTTGGGTCTTCCTGACTGTGGTTAATTTTAATCGTCAACTGGCCACAATTTAAAATCACCTGGAAACAGAAGTCTCCATGAGGTTGACTGGTGGGCATGTCTGTGGGGGATTGTCTTAATCATATTAATTGATATCAGAGAACCTCACCCACAGAGGGTGGCTCCATCCCCTAGGCAGGTCATCCCACACAGACTGTCCATATTAGGTGCAGAGGGGGGCGGAGCATAAGGAGGCATGCATGTCTTCATTTTTCTCTCTGCCCTTGACTGTGAGTATGACTAGCTGCTTCGAATTCCTGCCACGGTGTGTTTCTTGATGTGATAGACTGTGATCCGTGATTGTGATCTGCTTAAATCCTTTCTCCCTTAACTTACATTTTCCTTCTTTTCTTAATCGCAGCAGCAGAAAGGAAACTAGGAGAGCAGCTCAGTTAAAACTTTCTGGGAATAACTCCGTAGACGCAGCATGAAGTGTGTTGTATGCTGATTCTACATCACACCAAGTAGACAATCCAGCTTGAGCATCCATAGGCCTTTCTTTGTTCGCAGGAAAGTGATCTCTAACAGACACATCATTTTCTTTTTTGTTGAGGCATTCTGGCCCCCAGTGCTTCCTGGGAGGAAGTGGGTGTTTTGACCCACAGTGGTGACTCAAATGACCTACCCTGCAATGCTGCAAGATGGCAGATGAGGTGTTGTAAGAATAAAAGCCCAGGCTCACTTCCTGATACTTCTGTTTGACTGAGCTGCAGGAAACTAAAAGGGCCACAGATTAATGCATTTCTTCTTATTATATGGTATAATTTGCTCATAGTACAAATAGTAGTGGATGTGGATTTAGGGTAGTGACTGTGTAGACTGTGGAATTATGACTAGCAGGAGGTGGTTCATGTGGTCAGATGTCTGTTATTGCCAAGGATTCAGTTTCATTTGAGATGGTGGAGTCCACCAGTGACTTATTCTTCAAAAGAGTGGATAAATGGCTGGGAATGTATTCATTTGGTAGAGTGTTTGCCTAGCATGATGCTCAAAGCCTTATGTTCTATTGTCAGCACTTATAAAACTCCATGGCAGTACATACCTGTAACCCTATAATCCAGCACTCGGAAAGGAAAATCAAGGAGATAGGGAGTTCAAAGTCATCCTCAGCTTCGTTGAGAAATGAAGGCCAGCCTGGACTTCTTGAGATCCATTCTCAATATTAATTAATGAATTAATTAGTAAGTAAATGTGGTCCATCCGTGGACAGAGAAGGGTAGCTTCTGTTCATTCAGAACTGCCACCTGAACAGAGGCTTATGAAACAGAACATCCCCCGAGATGGAAGGGTACGTGTTCTCTGTCCTCTCCAAGCCCACCCCAGCCCAGCATCAGAAAATAGCACTGTGAAGGTTTATAAACCTCCTCCCAAGCCTATCTCGTGTGCACACAACCATTATAACTGAAGTACATACTTATAATGTTCCCCTAGATGGACCCCTGACACATACATACTGCTATATCCCTGGATCTTACAGGTTCTTGTGCTTTCATGTGGCAGGCCTCTTTGGTGTCCTTTGTACAGAAAGCAGAATTCTTCCACCCCTCTGGACCATTGCATGATATTTCTTGATATGGCTACAGTTATTGTTTTAACCAGCATGCATCATTTTCCTAGAATTAAATATCCCATTCCAGCTAATGTCTCATGACATCTTTGTTCACATTTGTGTGAGTTATAATCTGGCAATTTTTAAATTTATTGTCTGGAATTGATGCCAGAGGCGCATGTTTGCTAAACATGCACATGGCCACTGAATTACAGCCTTGGCATCATTGATTTTTTTACACGTCATGTTTTAGTTGACTGGGGGGGGGAGAAGAGGGACATTTAGTTTAAAAAGAAAAAAAAACCACTTGGATTAAAAATATAGAGAAATCGCTTTAAACTTTGAAATATAAAGTCATCATTTTTCTCAGCCTCTATGGGAGGCCATCTTACCAGTTTCTGTATTCATGCCTTAAATAAACACACCCTCTGTACATGGGTTGGAACAAAGGGTCTTGTTCCTAGGGAGGACACTGAATCTCTTGGTCTGAGTGCAAAGAGAATGACAGTCCCCTCTGTCCCTCCGTGTCCCTGCCCTGCCCCCTACTCTGCCATCTGAGTGGGAACAGAGACAGCTGTCCATCAGCCACAACAGTGGATCCCAAATAAGTTGGTCTGATTGTGTTTGCCTGGCTGGCTCCCTTGCCATATTACTATTCCCTCAGAGAACTATGCCTCCCAGAGACATGGCATTTCAGCCAAGGAAACCTCCAGATAATCCCTAATAAATGTCCCATTGTGGGGTCTCAGGACTCTAGGGACAAGGCTAAAAGTGCATTTCTGAGCAAATATAAGTTGTCACTATCCTGTTTCAGATTCATTTAAATCTGGGTAGGCTTTAAAATCCAGAGAGCAGATGTGGTTAAGATAAACAAATGCATAAAAAAAGCAAATGTAATTGGCTTTAAAAATACCTTTCATTGAAACTGAAATTAATAGATCCAGGGTCAGTCGGACATGGTAATGTATCCCTGCAATCATAGCACTCGGAAGTCTGAGGCCAAAAATTGCCTCTAAAATTCAAGGCCCGTCTGGGTACCCTGGCTAGCTTTAACTGTCAACTTGACAGACTCTAGAATTATTTGAGAAAAGAGTCTGGAATGAGTGATTGCCTAAATCAGGCTGGCCTGTGGGCATGTCAGAGTGATTATGGTGATTGTTCATTGATGGATGAGGTCCTAGCCCACTGTGGGTAATACCATTCCCTAGGAAGGTGAACCTGAATTAGGTAAGGATAACTGAGTATAAACCTGTATGTCTTCCAGTAGCATCCTCCATGGTTCCTGCCAGGCTTCTTTGGCAGTGAACTGAGTTCCTTGTGTAGAATAGGAGGCAGGTCTGCTTTCAGGATTCTGCCTTGATTTCCCTTAATGGTGGACTGTGACCTGGTAAATGGACTAAACCAGTTCCTCCTCCCCTAAGTTGTTTCTTGATCAAAATAGTTTATCACAGAAACAGGAAGGAAACTAGAATACGAATGCTGAGATACAGAATGAGTCCCAGGCCAACCTGGGCTCCAGAATGAGACCCTATCTCAATAGCTTAGCAAACTCAAAATCCAACCAAACAAAGCCCTGGAGTCACCTCCAGGCGGCATGAACTCAGTTTGCAGCAGTTACACAGTTCTTAGTGGAGGTGATTAGAGTAGGTCATCTTTTGGGCCTTTGCCTTTTGCCCCCTTGGCAGGGTAACTATAAGTTCTGTAGTACAAATCTGGAAAGAGAATTTTCTCATCATCTTCACAAAGTCAGTGTGACTTTAAAAGCCCTGACGATGGGAGATGTGTTTACTTATTGACAAGCAGACTTAGCTGCAGGGTAGCACTGTCACTAATCAGGTAAATCAATCCAGGCCACCTTGCAGTAAGGGATCCCTAACCAGAACAATGGAGTTAGATAATCTCTCCCTGGGTTTCTTGGTAATATAGTAACACTAAATTTGTTACACACTTTCAGCCATTAAGTTTGGAACATGCTACTGGGCTATCTTTGATGTGCCCTTTGTGGGACTGGAGATGTCTGGAGAACATGAGATTCATATTTTTCCCTAAGGTATGAATATGCAGAAAGCAGAAAGCATATCCAGAAGTGTGTGTGTGTGTGTGTGTGTGTGCAATTGTACACTTGCTCTTCAAGCTTTCCCTTACTGGTTTGGAACTTGCCAAATAGGCTAGGCTGACTGTCTCTTTTCTCCTCCATCATTATAAGCAGTGCCACTGTACCCATCTTTTTTTAAGTGAGTTTTGGGAGCAAATTCAGGTTCTCATGTTTTCCAGGCAAGCACTTTATTGACTGGGACATCTCCTCTGCCACCACATTCCTTTTTGTTCATTTGTTTTTTGAGACAGGGTTTCTCCATGTAGCCTTAGCTGTCCTGGAACTCACTCTGTAGAACAGACTGGCCTCAGACTCAGAGATCCACCTGCCTCTGCCTCCCTAGTGCTGGGATTAAAGGCGTGACCACCACCCTGTGTGTGTGTGTGTGTGTGTGTGTGTGTGTGTTCGCTGTATTTTTAAACTTGGGACTTTATTGGGTAACTTCAACCTATTGTGCTGAGATTACAAGTGTGTACCACCATGCTTGACTACAGGG